TTCATCTGTAACTTAGGCAAAAAAAAATAATTATAAATTAAAAATGGTATAAAATTCAATGCGTAATTCGTACAAAGTCACAATAATGGAGATATCGAAACAAATTATTTAATGAAAAAGTTAAATAGTTCCGTCCAGTGTGACTGGTTAAGATTTTTTTTTTCCTTATTTCAATCATGCCCTTGCATGTTTCGGTCTTCAGAGACCATCTTCAAAGGGACACCTTTTACATCAATACAGTTAGAAGGCACTATTAGAATACATGTTCTAAAAGTTAAAATATATACCGTATTTACGCATGTATAGGCCGCGTGCGTGTATAGGCCGCAGCACAATTTTCAGACAGAAATTATAGGAAAAATAATTTTCTTGGAATATTATTTCAGGAGTAGAACATCCTGTATTACTAATTATGAATATAATTTTTTTTAAATGAAGTGTGATTTCGAATATTTCGAATATAAGCCGCACCCCAGTTTTCCTCTTGAATTTTTGGCAAAAAATGTGCGGCCTATACATGCGTAAAAACGGTACATACAATATAAACAATATACAATTGGCTGTAAAATCTAAAGTCTTTACAACTGCAGCGGCTGTTCCAGTACTTTAAAATATTTATAGTTGATTTGTTAAGATTCTATTGGAGCTCGTAAACCAAGCTGGTTTGTGTCATCCCTCTTATTATTTCTATTGAGGGGGGCCAAATGTGTGCCGCCCTGTCGTTCTCGAGAAGAGGGTTCTTTGATGTTGTCTCTGTTTGTGGCCCACTGTGTTATTTTTACTAAAAAATCAACTCAAATCAAATCAAATTGTTTAATATTCCCTTATGAATAACTTTTAATTGTAAAGCGTATGGTTAGCTGGTAATACTCAGATCCGTAGACTATTTTAGCTGTGCCATATACGTAGTATGAGGCAGAGATGGTTGAGGCATGGGAACCCCCGATGCTGTTGTATCGCTTGTGTTATAAAAAAAAAACGAGAACCAAAGCAGCAAATAGTGATGTTGATAATTATCGGTTATAATCCGTCACTCCTGAATAACCTGCGATTTCAGTCGGATTAAAACGTCGCTTTATTTATTCAAGCATGTTATTTTTAGTAAGGAATCATTAAATTTTAAACAATAATATTTCCATGTGTCATATTCCTCTTTATTGGGTCTGGCATTAGGCCTGCATGCACTCCACAAAAAGAAAGGCATAATTACGTTCATCTACGTTCATGCCAAATTTTCGAGAATTTGCGTCTGTCGACAATGAGGCAACTTTTCACAGCCTCTATCCCTATCCGTACTACTTATGAGGATTCTTGAGGGAGAGAAACTCTTTCATTTCCAGAACCTCTGTACCCCTAGTTCCTACTGTAGAAATTCCAGGCTATGTGAAACGAATTTTGGACCAAAAGTAGCTTTGCTTAAAAAAATTACGGATTTTTTCCCCAAACACTTATGATTTTACGAGCATCACTACAACTTAACACGGATTCCAGAGAAAGAAAATATATTTTGGGGCAAAAATCAGTTTTTCCTCAATAAACCGTTCATTTTCCCCAAACGTGTGTTCCTAAGAAGTGATCGATACGGAGACCCCTTTTCAGAACACCTCCTCTAGTTTCAAAGTGCGGATTCTAAAAGAAGGGAAAATAATTTGGGGCCACAATGCACATTCCTTCAGAAACTACGACTTTTTGGGCCGTTGTAATTACTGCGACCTGACCATAAAATTAACCTTATTACCTTCCACTTCTGATAAACCAGTAATGTTATCATCGCTAATCCATTCACTGTTGCTATCGCTACCATAAACATCATCATCATCGTTTTATTGCTGTTACTATAATACTGGGCGGCACGCCGTGGCATAGTTGGTTGAGGCAGTATACTACAAGCCGAAAGGTCGCGGGTTCGATTCCTGATTATGTCAATAGATTTTCAATTTCCCTAATCCTTCCAGCCACACTATGGCCCTGGAGTTCCCTCATCCTTTAACAGAAATGAGTACCAGGAAAGTTCCTGCGGGTAAACGGTGGCCGGCGCGTTAGGCTGACAACCTTACCGCCATCTTGGAGCCGACTGTCTAGAAAATGTGGGAACCTCAACGTCTCACAGGCCTCCATCGCATGTTACAAGGATAGCTTTACCTTTACATCTTTTAATATTTTTAATACCTTTCATACAAAGTCAACATACTCATATATTTTTTCAATATATCCTAGCTATATTTTATATATTTAATTTCAATATTTATATTTAACTCGAGGCACAATTCTGTATCACAGAACATGACACGTTGCACCAAATATGGATCCATATTAGCAGTTCAATGACCCTAGACGTGTTCTTATATCACTGCCTGATGATGGTCCTATGAGACCGAAACATGTAGCAGGAAATAAATATTCAATCATAAAATATTGATTGATTATAAATCACTTTGTTGTGGCGACGGCTAACCTAACTATATACATTTTAAGGAGTGTTCAGACATGAACCAAAATATACAGAATTAAAATTAATGATATATTGAAGGAAATTCTGGAAATATAAAATAAAAAACATAGCTATTAAAGAACAGGCCCTTCAACAGGGGGGGGGGCCGCTGAGAAACTCTCAAAATCTGCACTTAATCACGAACCCAATGGACACAAAGAGGCGTAGGAACATTATTCATATGCTAGCTATGAAGTCGGAACTGCCTCTAGTTTGAACTCTGGAGGGCAGAGGCCAACATAATAAGATGTGTGGAAAAAGTGAAGATTGATCGATTCTCCTATTTGTAAATGGCGAAGTTCAGCGCAATGCTACGCCCACTATGAACACGAGGGTATGCAAAACCAGCACATCCTCCCCACAAACCTCATCCATCAACATTATTCACTGTTAGTTGGGAGTGAACTGGGAGCCGGGTATAGCAACGAGTCGGACGGCTGGGTTTCGATTCCCAGCAGAGGCGTTCAGACCGGATCTGGGACCAAAACTGTGTCCTATCCAATAGGAACCAGACGTTCCTTCACTAGAAATAAGGCAACCGGGACGTGAAGCTGACCACTCACCTCCACTCTCCGACTTCTTCATGGCGTGGTGTTTAATTAATTAAACACAAGGATAAATTTATCTTTTTTTGGTTTCTTGGGGCGGGGTGAGACTGAGTCCACTTGGTAAGTTGGCCACTAATTGGCCTATTTTACCAGCCCTGGATGACAGACGATGATGAATGTGGAACAGTCGGTGGAATGAGAAGTGGCAGGGGGAAATCAAAATACTCGGAGAAAACCTGCCCCAGTGTCTCTTTGTCTACCACAAATACCACATGATCTAACCTGGGATCACACCCGGACCGCCGCGTTGGGAAGCCAAGCGATTAACCGCCTGAGCTATGACATGGCCTCGAGGGTGACTAGATTAATATTTTAATATCATACTGCAGCATCCTGTTGCACTGTGTATTCTAACTGTGTACCCACTCCTCGCCCTCTTTGTGCAACCACTTCGACGTCTTCGTGTCTTTATTATACAACAATAGATGTTTGGGCCTAAATGGCCGTCATCAGGTGCATAAGATGAGATGAAGGAACCTGCTGTTCCGTTTGACCCAGCAGAGCCGAGACGTGTACTGTTACACAACGAAGAGACGACGTGTGAATATTGATATATCAACCAGGTTGCATGAAGACGGCAAGGAATGGGAACACAATGTAACTCTTTTTAATTGTTCTTTTCTACTAAAGTTATGCCTGAATTCGAGATGATGTTACGCTTATTAGTGACTATAGACGGGGTTTGGATTGGTAAACAGATTTACTGACCACTCACACGTCGTAACTACAAATAATTATGTCTCACTGGTTTACACACTCTAAAAATGACTGTAACTACAGCACGTAAAATAACTTCTTCTATAGCTGATTTCAGTAGTCGTTGCTGGGTAACAGATCTCAACAATGACTATTCCCTAGAATGTTTTCCTTGTCCGTTTCCAGGCAGTTATCACTTTACTACAGCACAAATCACACAGGCCGACTTATAATTCTACAGCTACTAACTTCCTGTAGCTATATCCTACCGATAACTGACTGAACTGACATCTATTTTTCGCCTTTCGTTATATAGATTCGGGTCAGACTCCTTGAAAACACGTGTCACGTGTCAGAATCACTGGCCCGGACAACACAGAAAACAGCCTCTATTGTTGAAATGCCTCTGTTGTAGTTCAAACGTGATCTCTCCCAAGCCAGTTCAATGGTGCGCTGGCTGCTGCCTAGCAACGGTCACGTATTGTTGGCCGCGTGTTTCCTTTAACGTATTTACCTAGTAATGGGTTTTTATGGCTCCATAGCTTAGCGCTTTGAGCAAATCCGTCACAATATTACTGACCTTCCTTTGTGCATCAAATTAAGAAACAACTTCTTCCTTCCATATCGCTTCCAGTTCATTATTCACTATTCATCTGCGGCTTGACCACCTTAGCAACTAATGGCGTTATTAAACAAGCCAAGAAAAAAATAAAATTACCAGGTGAACAATAAACAGCTTCTTCGTAATAACTTACATTTACATACTGGCCTACGCAGAATTCGTTACTGTGAACTGATGAAAGCGTCATCAGACGAAACTAAGCAAATAAATAAACTCCGTAGCCTGTAGTCCGCAAACGAACTATACCGAGCGACCGCCGCTTGTCGGCGAAGTTGGTGCCAACTTTAGCGGATAGAGGGTGTCGCGTGTTCAGCGTAACGGATTCTCATGGCCGTTAATGTCAGTTTTCTAGACCGGAAAGAATTAAGGTCTGGAATCGCAGAGATTCAACGGAAGTAGTACATGAATACAGCATACGTTTCTGTAACTTGCAGAATGTACGCAGTAACGAATTTCTAACAGCGAGAAAATAATTTCTTCCGCAGTATCTGTGAGCACGGTGACAGCTGATACAACAGTTTCTAATATATCCAACAGAATGACAGCCTGTACAAAAATATACGAACGGATATCGGTAACTTACCACAGTTTCCAACTTCAGGTCGCTATTCAGCAGGGGTACTACACTCCGTTCTCGTAATGACGACTGCGTACGGATTACTCTGTAAAGATCACAAAAAATATCCATTAATGACATTTCCGGGAAGTTAATTTTACAATTCAATTATGTTTCGCATTTTTGCGAAACACATTTCACCATATTGCAACCGAACAGGCTAGTCTGGCGGTACAGCTCCAGACCTGTATTCGAGACGTCCTCAGGTCGACTCTGGGTCGCGATACCGAATATCCTGACCGAATTTTCGTGGTCTCCTTCAATCCGTACAAATAAATGCAATGATAGTATTTCAATTAGGCCACGACCGCTTCCTTCTATATTATTTCCAATTTACTTATCTCACAATACGTCTACATAACCGGAGGCTGTAAGCACAATGAAACCCGCCAAACCATCTCTGCACGGCCTACTAGCTGCGAACTCTAATTCCTCTGTCACTCGGGGCATGCGGTGGGATAGTTGGTTGAGGAACTATGCTACAAACCAGAAGGTCGCGGGTCCCATTCCCGATGAGATCACTGGAATTTTCAATTGACCAAGTCCTTCCAGCCGCACTATGGCCCTGGGGTTGACTCAGTCTCTAACAGAAATGAGTATCAGAAATCTTCCTGGGCGGTAAATGGCGGCCAGCGCGTAAAGCTGATAACCTCACCACCATCTGTGCGTCAATTATCTAGAAAATGTGAGAGCCTCGACGTCTCACAACCCTATGGGCTTCCACGGCCGGTGTTACATGGCTTGCTTTACCTCTTTAACTGTTAACCTATTGTTTGTCACACTTTCATTAAAGAGTCTGACTTTATTCATAAAATTATTTGAAGGCGGAAATACAGAACGTCCGTATGCAACTTTATACCTTACAAAAAGCATAGTAGTGTATGGAGGGCACTGTATATTCCAGAAAGCTAAATGCGATAAAGGATTTGAAACAAAAAATCACTGATTCTCATGAAACTTTTCTTATTAATAAAGCAAACAGCACTGAAAAGTTATTGTTGATTCAGTATTCGCGAAGATTCGAAGTTGTAACGGATTCATGTGGACATCCTGTATATTTAAATAAAATAACGTTATTCAGCACGCACCGCCGCCATGCTTTTGCGGTCTGATGGAACACTTTCACTGGTTGATCCCGCAAAATATTACTGGCCTACTGAAATGTGGGGTTCATATTTATTTCCAAGAACTAATGACATATGAATATTCAATCGGTATTGAAATACGCGTACGTTTTGCTAATTACGCCTACAAACCACCATGGACACAGTCTGTTTCACATTCTTTCACTTACAACGATGTATATAAAATGTTTTCAACGTTAATTTTTCTATTAGTAAAAAACAAAACTCCGTGGCCTGTAGTCCGCCAGCGAACTATACCAACCGAGCGACTGCCGCTTGTCGTCGAAGTTAGTGCCAACTTTAGCGGATAGAGGGTGTCGCGTGGTCAGCGCAACGGATCCCCACGGCCGTTTATCTCGGTTTTCTAGACCGGAGCTGCTTTTTCCTTGAAATAGCTCCTCAAATATCCTCACGAGGCTGAGTTTACCAGGTTCCAGACCCACTACTTCTCAGAAAAAATGGTAGCGCCGGGAATCGAACTCGGGACCTCTAAATATATAGCCAGGAATTCTGACCACTAGACCACAGAGGCGTCATTTTTTATTAGAACCGCGATAAAAATTCTAGAAAACTGTAAGTTTCAGTGAAATATTTAAATATGTATTAGACGGCTCGGTGGTTCTCAGAGCGATGCCCACAGATTCCGCTATTTGCCTGACTACACAGCTTTATATCACAGGAGAGAGCAGAAATCAACGCCAGGATGAATTTCATCGTATTTTATAGAACAGTTTGTATGGTAACTTCGAAAACTCTTTGTCCTAAATTAAATTATATATGCTACAAGCAGGAAGGTCGCGAGTTCGATACTTTATGAGGTCACTGGAATCTTCAATTTACCTAATCCTTCCAGCCGCAATATGGCCCTAGCGTCGTCGACTTAGCCTCTAACAGAAATGAGTATCAGGAATCTTCCTGGGGTAAAGGGCGGCCGGCGCGTAAGGCTGACAACCTCATCGCCATCTGTGAGCCGATTTTCTACGAAATGTGGGAACCTTGACTTTTCAAACCTGTATAGGCCTTCACGGCCTGTTACAGGAAGAGCTTCATCTTTTTAGCAGAGGAATGTGGACAGTACAAATTCAAAATACAAATAAAAAAGAACATACCAAACAGACTGTATATTACTATCCCCCCCCCCCGAGTTACTTGTACTTCTTTCGATTGCATGTAACGGCAAAGAAAACAGTGGATGATGAATCAGTAAAGATGTGGAGATGGCGTACATGGCTCTATTCCTGTCCCTGTTGGACAGAATGTGGAAAACTGTTACAGAATCTGCGAGGACAGACAGTCACCGGACACAGATTCTAACCCTGGATCACCTGAATAATAAAGGTAAAGCTGTCCCTGCGTCTAATTAATTAAGCACTATATCATGAAGACATATATGGGAGTGAGGATTAGCTCCACCATTCTTGACCTCGACACTGCATAGAGGTGGTCAGCTTAACGCCCCAGCAGCTTTACCCCCTGGGAAAGAGCCCTCCGTACCCATCGGATAGTAGTAGAAACGGCCTGTACGCTATGGAGGAGTCAAAATCCTAGACCTTGCCGGGAAACGAATCACGTTCAGCCCGTAGCTACACGACTGAGCTATCCCGGCCCCTGGGATAATCTGAATATGAAGTATAAATCCTAAGTACTCGAGTTGGCCTTCGGTTAAATGTCTAAAGAAAGAAGTAGGCCTATGTATATCACGAAATATGTTTAACACGTTCCGGTAAATGCAAAGATGTATATTTCTAGGCATTTCAGCTATACGGAAACGCACTGCGCAAAACTTTTCGTTTAATGCAAAAAGTGCATTATATTTAACTGCAAGATTTAAAACGGACCTTGTATCAGAGTCACACTGCAATGTTTAGCCCCTCCGGATACACACAATTTCCAGCCGCCTGGGAGTTCCGTTTAACTTCAACTGTTCAACAATTCCCAGGTCAGTAAGAAGAATCTCAGAGCCTACATTAAGACGTAAAGAGTTTACGTGTAGGCGACGTCGGCGCCCGTAGACATGGCAACAGCGCCAGACGCTCAGAGGAGCGGTGGGACGAGCGGGACGTCTGTTGGGCAGGACCAGGAGATGTAGGGGGCTGCTGGAGAAGCCTTCAGAGTTCCGACCCTGCGACGTGTTTATTGACGTTTCCCTGGCACACTCCATCCCTCCTGTTCCTATGAGACGAATCGGAGTATAGTACGAACACAAGAGATTCCTTTTCATAACAACGCTTTCAAAACTGAGAAACACAACCCAGAATGTTTTATCTACACGCCAGGATACGTAATATGTAAAATTGTAAAGTTCCATGTAAACAAGACGATAAATTATTTGAAAACAGCTTGAAAAATCGACTAATTGAGCAGTGAGATAAACCGAACTGCGTAAATTTCTACTATGAAACCCTCCAACAAAGTGGAGACCACTACAGAAACCTAGGCATATTCTTATGGTTTATTTTATTGCTAGTGGGGTGGGACTAAGTCCCTTGTACTGCAGACACTTCTGACCTATTGTACCAGCCCCAGATGATAGGTGAGGGTGATTGTGGAGCAACTGGCGGAATAAAGATTGGCAGGGGAAACCGAAGTACTCGGAGGAAACCTGCCCCAGCGCCACTTTGTCCACCACAAATCCCACTTGACCAGACCCGGGATCGAACCCAGGCCGCCGCAGTGGGAAGCCAGCGACCCCAGCGACTAACCGCTTGAACTATGGCGCGTTCTTATGGGTTACTTAACGATGGTGTCAGTAGCCTCAGGTAAAATGATACATGAGCGATGAAGTGGAAAGAATTGGGAAGGAAGCGGTTCTAGCGTAATCGAGGGACATCATGGCTGGAGGGCCTGATGAAAACCACGAAATGCCTGTCACGATAGTCGATATATCGGCCGGAATTAGAACCAAGCACCTCATAAATACGAGGCTATAGTGTTACTAGTACGGAGACCTGTTCAGTACCTAAACACAGATGTGAGGATAATATTAAAATACATCTCACAAAAGTATGGTATGAAGGTTCGAACTGGACTGAACTGGCTCTGGTGCAAGTTAAAACCAGGAACAGGTATGAAACAAAACAAATGTCGACGCGATAAGAAGTACACAGCACACTACAAAACAAAAGCTCAATCGCGGAATCATATTCACGAAGATAAGAGGAAACACACAAAATCTAAAAACTAATAATACTATAGGTGAATAGCTCAACAAATATACAACACAACAGCGAAATCCCGATAACAAGACATCGCCTACAACGCGAGGCAAAATAATATAGAATTTTACATCATTACGAGAGGATTTTAAAATTTTTGAAATTATACATATTTTTACAGCTTCGTAATAGATATGATTATAATGTTTAACACTAATATGGATAAATATTATGATATTTCAATAACATGAGACGTATTTAATGAAACTGCCTTAAAATGTTCCCAAAAGTGGACCGAAACATGTAGAAGTTATTAAATACGGAAACGAATGTAAACAGTTCGATTGGTTTATTTTCTTATTATTATATCGACGGCCAGAATACCACAAATCATGACACATAACAGGATGCAAAGAGTAAAAATGACTTAGCTTATGTTCAGTAACCGGACCAGGCGACACTACACTACGGAGTTACTGAATAAAATTACAACAAAAAATCCGTGGCTTTATTCCGCAAGCGAACTATACCGACTGAGCGACCGCCGCTTGTCGGCGAAGTTAGTGCCAACTCTTGCGGATATAGGGTGTCGCGTGGTCAGCGCAACGGATTTCCACGGCCATTAGTCTCGATTTTCTAGACCGGAGCCGCTACTTTTCCGTTCATGTAGCTCCTCAATTATCCTCACGAGACTAGGTGGACCCCGTTCTAGACTCACCACTTCTCAGAAAATCTGGTAGCGTCGGGAATCGAACCCAGGACCACTG